TTATTTATGACAACTTTTTAAGAATGCCACTAGAAACTCCTATTGTGGTGATAATGGTTGCCACTAGAAATATTTATTCTACAAAAATAGTTCCAATAACTTAAATATTGGGTAGGTTGCCACTAAATATTGACTTAGCCCGAATTGTCACATTTACCTGAAATCCCAAATTTACCAAAGCTTGAATTCCCTGAAATTTTGAAACTTGAGCTGCCAACTCTGCCAAAGCCTAAATTGCCAGAATTCCCAAAGCCGGAGTTTCCACCATCTCCAAAGTTTGAACTTCAAATTTGCCAAAACTAGAGATTCCTGTCATTCCTAAGATTGAATTACCAACTTTATCAAAGCCAGAAATCCCTCAAGTGCCTAAAAAGCCCTGAGTGCGTGGCGTGTGAAATTTCTCTTCGCCTTATTGAAGTAACATTGATCATATGTGTTTCCCTTTGTTGTGATAAAATCATTTCCAGCTCTCTGTTTTGGAAGGATTATTTATGTAATTGTTATGCCATCAATTTACTAATATAAGGTGACTTTTACCTTAGCTAATTTTGTAGTTCCCTATCACTACCAAAAATAGGAAACTGTTGCAGGACAAATATATTCTTTAGTTAAATAGTAAAACTCAACGCTAATTCTATCTAGCTACGAATTATCAAAAAAAAAATTATTGTTAATTACGAGTAATTTAGCGATCATGAATCATCTAGATTTTTGTAGTGTATTCATTTGCATTGAAATCTCTTATTGACTCTAGAATGTGATTCCCTAATTACTTATCCACTTTTCCTTTTGTAGTTGTCCTTAATTACTTGTCTATTTTGACAAATCAAGAAAGGACAATTGTTTTTTTACCTATTATACCCTCAATTAATTACTTTGAAAAAGGTAGAACTTTTTTTAAAATCTTAAATTTTTAATTCATCCACTTCATAGTTAATAGGGGTAAAATGGTAAACTTATATGTCAATAATTATAGATGTGTCAATTCAAAAATGGACAAGTAATTAGGGACAGAGGGAGTATTTCAATATGCAACATTGCTTATCATTTTAAAATTTTAAAACATTTTTTTTGTAAAAATTTACAATTGTCACGTCATTAAATAGGTACCAAATATAAGATTTTGGGGAATTATGACTATGGAAGCTAACTTAGCTAAGTTGAGTGACTTTTGAAAGACAAAACAAAGTTGAGCGACTCTTAAGGCCATTTGGGACATATGTAAGGATGTTTATTAAACATTCAATCACCTAAACAACATAATGTTAGATTAATTAGGTAATACTTGTTATACAAGTTAGATTAATTAGGAGGTTATTGTTGAGAAGATGAACTAACATAGTTTTTTCATACCAAACCACAACCAAAGACTAATTCTCCAATTTTTACTTTCACTATATAAACTTGTTTGAAGTGAAGTATAATGCATAATCAACAAAAGCATAAATTACAAGTCTTGAAGCATTTATCACCTTTATACAATGGCTTATAAGTATACCCCATCTTTTTTCTTGTTATTATTTGTCACTTTGTTTATAACAAGTAGTTATGTGATTCAAGCACAAGCGCGCAATCTTCTTGATGTAACCATCCCTGAGCTTCCTAAGCCAGAATTGCCACATTTACCTGAAATCCCAACTTTGCCTAAGCTTGAATTCCCTGAAATTCCGAAACCTGAGTTGCCTACTCTACCAAAGCCCGAATTTCCAGAAATCCCAAAGCCGGAGTTTCCACCATTTCCAAAGGCTGAACTTCCAACGTTACCAAAACTCGAGATTCCTATCATTCCTAAGCCTGAATTGCCAACTTTGTCAAAGCCAGAAATCCCTCAAGTGCCCAAAAAGCCTTGAGCGCGACCGAAGCAGCATTGTTAAAAATGTATTGTGTTGTGTGATCATATATGTATTTCTTTGTTGTGCTATACAATCTGCCATTTGAAACTTTCCTTCGTATTTTTTTTTGTCATCACTTCATTAATGTACTTGTGATTCTAATGACATTATACATATCTCTCCGTTTCATTTGTTTGATTTTGACTTGACACAGACTTTACGAAAGTAAAGAAAACTTTTGAATATTGTGATATCAAATTAAAAATATGTAGAATGTACCAAACTGTCTTTAATTCTGTAATCTTAAACATGCATGTCAAGTGAAAACTTGAAACTAAAGAGTTAGCCTAAATAAGAAAATGACATTGTTTTTTAAGTGGACAAAAGATGAAAGTAAGACAGACAAATTGAAATGGAATAGTTTTTCGTTCATGAGCTGAGGCACCAATATACATCAATATCACCAAATTTGCTATTAAAATATGAGACAGTTAAAAGTTGAGGTCATCCTTGTCTTCGTCGTTACAATTTTGGTTTGAAAATTCTCTTTTGACACTACCAATATTACATAAGAAAAAAGTTAATATTTGTCCTTTGGTTTGATTAAATTTGTTCTCTGATGAAATGACTAACTGTAATCGAGCCAAATATTGCAACGACGAGGACATGAATGACCACATTAATTTTACGAATGGAAAAATTAAACCCTTTTACATAATTTTAAAGCAAATCAACCCTTTTCCATATAATATATTTCCCCCACTATGTGGAGGTAACTAAATTATTGAAATAAATTTTACATAATTAATGTAGCCAATTATGGTCATATGGTTCAATAATAAACTAAAATAGAAATTCAATTTCACCATCTCTATATTTCTATCTGACACATATACCGTGTGTTATGATTTTGAGAGACCTTAGCCACATGGTCCACTAAGTTGCTCAGAGGCAAGTCTCCACTTCATCCACACCACGCCAATACAATGTGTGATATCATTGTCGATGTCCCCACTCCTTGAACTATAGACCCTAAGATACCTAATGTCACGCCCCGAGCCTACACCCTGGGCGGGACCGGCACCCGGAGACCATTTCTAGCCCCAAGCGAACCCTTGGCCTGGCTTTCTTAACTCAGCGGAAACCTCAACAGATTAACTCAATGCAATGCAATATTACAAAACAACTTAACTTATAAAATATGGCCATAAAGGCAACTCGAATCTCAAAATAGAATATTTACATATATATATAGATGAGAGACTCAAAACTAACTGACTGACTGTCTGTCTATGAAGCCTCTAAAATACTGAGATGGATGTTGGGACAGACCCCGCAACATCCTAATAAAACAAAAACTAAGAACACAAAATAATTGAGTCCTCCGGAATGCAAGGAGGCTCACCATTGACTCTGGAGTGCTCAGCTGGATCAACGACGTGCAGGATGCTGATCCGGGGTACCTGAATCTGCATCATCAAACGATGCAGGCCAACTGGCATCAGTACATGGAATGTACGAGTATGCAAGCTGGAAAACTAAGCAACAAAGGCTAGAAGGAAAACTGGAAGAAACTGAATAGCTTACCTGGCTCAACTTAACTCAACCTGACTGACTTCTTTCAATATAAGGCAATTTAAAACAAGTGCGATATAAAGAAAGATTGCTTAAAACATGCTATGAACTCTGTGTGTATACAAGGATACAATAAGCCTGAAATGTGTATAAAAATACAATGAACTGATGTATATAAAAAATACAATAATCTCTGTGTATGAAAAATACAATAACTGCTGTGGGAGTTTCTCTAACCGACAACCATCACATAAGAGCTATAGTGATGATACAGCGATCGACCTCACGCTGCCAGAGCATCTTATACCCGGCCAAAGGTATAAGACCTGAACTGCCTAATGGATCCACTAGTCTAATCTGAAAAGGATTCATCTAAAAAGTATGATCCTTTTCTACCCATGGTGGCTAACATGGTTCTATGGGGGCTGTGGGTTCTTTGAACGCTCCCCCAATTCGGTGCTCGATACTACTCCCAAAAATGTACTGGCTCTTATGTTTTTAAAACATATTTCTTCCTGCTGATATGAGATAATTACTCAAAAACTAGCCCGAAGGCTTTTTGGAAATCTCAGTTTCCAACCTTGTTTAAATGTAAAAACATTTCTTTAAAACTTCTTTGGGAATACATAGTTCCCTAATAACTTTGAGAAAAGAACTCAACTTTAAACTCTTTACTTTACTTGAACTCTTGGCTTGATGTGAAACTCTTAACTTAACATGAAACTCTTAACTTTTGACTTGACTTGAAACTCAATACTTAACTTGGAACTTGAGCCTTAGAATGAAGTTAAAACGCTCAATGAAGACTCTTGGAAAACCTTAAAGACTTGCTTTGACTTACTTACTTCTAAGCTTGACTTCACTTGACTTGGAAACTAACTTCACTTGACTTGTAGTTTTACTTGACTTTTGGAAGTACCTTGGAGTGTTGGAAACAACTAGGAAACATAGGTATAATACCTAGGAACATGTATAAAAAAAGAAATGGTGAATGAAAGGGAAGGATTGGTGTCCTTGGCACTAGCAGAGGTGCAACAGCCCAGCCTCTTTTTCCCCAAAAATCCGACTTTTTCCCCTTGTTTCTTTCCAATTCTAAACCCTCTCAACCTCAAGGTTTCAGCAGCAACACTTAGAATCATAAAGACCCTTATTATACAATAGATTCAACTCAAAAATCACAGCCAGAAATCTGTACTAAATCAGCAAGAACTTCAACACAACACCACTACAACTTCAACAACCAATAAATCTTCTCTTGGAATTAAAAACGAGTTGGTGTGTGGGGGTATGAACCAACCAACACTAAGGATCATAAAATCCCTCAATATACAATAGGTCACAACTCAAATACACAGCCCAATCCTGTCCCACAACCAACAATAACTTCAACAACACAACTAACAACATCAACAACAACTAACAACTTCAACAACTTCAACAACAAATCCAATCTCTTCTCAAATCATAAAAACGAGCTTGGTATGTGGGGGGAAAGGATAAACCCACACTAAAGACTCACATACCTTGATAGGGATCACCCCCGACGAAAATCCACAATGATCTTGACAAATCTTGTTGATCTCCTCTTTCTTCTCTTCTTCTTCTCCTTCTTCTCTTCTTCTTCTCTTGAACCCTAACTCTTTCTCTTTCAAAATGGGACAAAATGATCCAAATATCAGCTTAATACAACAATATAAGCTCAAAAGAAATTATTTGTGAAAAGACCAAAATGCCCTTAAATTTCCGGAACGGAATCCCTGCCAACTGCCCAACTTTCAAAGATCATAACTCGCTCATACGAACTCGGAATCGAGCAAACTCAGTGGCGTTGGAAAGATCGTTCCACAAGCTTCGAAACCATAACTGGAACTACTCCTAAATCATCCTGATCTAGGAGTTATGACTGCTCAAAGTTGGCCAAAAACTCACTGATTTCCACACTTAGCCAAATTTTCCAGATTTTAAATTTTTCCAAAAATGACTATTTCCAAATTTCAAGCTTCTTCATATTCATTTTTAAATTGTCGGATGTTACACCTAAATCTATCACTCTTAAAGATATTTTAATTATGTAATTATTTTAAAATATAATTATATTTAGTAGAGATGATAGTTGTTTAATTTCTATAGCTATAGTTAGTTTTTCCTTCTTTTTTATAGAAGAAACTAGAAAGTACGACAGGATATATATTTTTTATTTTTATACTATTTTTCTTCTTCAATCCCCTTTATTAAAA